TAGGACTCTCAGGACGAGGAAGAGGTGCAGGCGTGTTAGACCTTGCGAGCAGAGAATACCGTTACCGAGTGAGATTTCCGGCAGTACAGGAGGGAGTTGTCAGGCCAATGTGGCGAGCATGCCTCAGCAGGCTATGGGTGCCCTTGGCCAGAGAGATAGCAGTAGCTTTGGTTATTCTTAGAAGCTGGGAATCAGGCAGCCGAGCATGGCCTTCTTCTTGAAGAGGGAGTTTTCCGTCTAATCCGGATTGAGTTTATCGGGGATCTCGAAGGAGCCACTGAAAGGCTGATGAGTGGCTAGAGCAATTGAGTAAGACGTTCGAGCATGGCTGCATCGAGACGAGCACTGAAAGTGACCTTGGCATTCCTTCCAGCTGAAGGGAGATGCGGGGTCAATGGTGGAAGTACGAGAAGGGCTCGTGTTGGTGGTACCATGGGAGGCGTTGTAAATGCTTTTCAGAGAGGTTTTTGTCTACAGCAGCTAGGGAGAAGCTGAGGGATCAGTTTAGCCGGCTTAAACAGCAGGTTGTTCTGTGGCCGAGTTGAGGCTTACTTTTACCAGTCTGTCCAGTTTGCACTGAACTGGTGGCGTCTGAGAACGCCGTTGTGCTATGAGTTCGAGCGAAAATTGAGGCGGGGCCTCAAGTTGAGAGTGTTGGTGGGTCTACATCCGAGAGTAATAGACACTGGTAGATTGCCGCTGTCATATGGAAAAATTATTGATGCAGGAAGAGGAGAAAGAGCAGAGGGGCTCCAAGAGGGGCTAGATGGCCAGGGTGATTGGCAGGAGTAGAGGGGTTATAACCCTCAGCAGCCTCAGGGTGCAGTTTCTAGATCGACCTTTCCAGGTGCCAGTGTTAGGTCGAGGAGAGGCAACAGGGGAGTTTGCTTGTTACAAGTGTGGCCAGCTGGGACAAGGTTTTCAGTTTGCCTGCAGAAGGAGTGGGGGATCAGAGTGCTTGCTTTTCTTCAGCTAGACCGTAGAGTCAGAGTTTGGGGCAGGGGGCAGCCCTTGTCTTGTTATCAGTGTGGACAGCCTGGGCACCTGAAGAGGTTTTGCCCAGTTTGAGGTGCACTTCGGGAGCGTCTGGTTCTAGACAGACTCAGGGATTTCAGCCCAACTCAGTCTGTGCAGGCCTCGAGGGCCAAGTCCGGGGGCTTCGTCTTCCCAGTCAGTGCAACAGTCGTATGCCTTAGAGGTGAGTAGGTTTGATCAGTGGCCACAGGGCGCGTGTATGGCCGTTACCGCGCAGGATTAGTACCGCTCCATCAGTAGTGAGAGGTTACTTTCTGTTTGCAACTCGGTTGCTTAGCTGTGTGATTGACACGGTGCATATCTCATTCTTTTGGTATCTGCTGCATTTGCATCTGTTTTAGGAATTTGGAGTTGGCACAGTAGCATCTCTATTTGTGTGGTATCGCCTTTGGGTGTGAGTTGATCTTGAAACAAGTGTTAGAGGCGTGTGATTAGAGGTCGCGACCATAAGCTTCCTTTCCGGTTGTTGCATGCCCTGATGAAGGTTTTGATGTTATTTGGGTTATGGACTGGCTATCGTCATACCGGGCTGTTATCGATTCTACCGCCAGAGCGGTCACGTTATGTACCCTTGAGCGGGGAGTGGTTCCATTTCTTGGGAGACCGAGTTTGGTTGCATTTTACCACCAGGGTTATGATTCGCGAGGGCGAAAGTGAACTTAGTGTCTACTCTGCTAGCTTTGAGAGAGGATGAGAGTGGTGAGACCAGCTTGTATTGCGAGGGTGGTTTGTGAGTGATCGATGTCTTTTCCCGAGATCTTGTTAGTTTGCCACCTCACGAGAGATAGAGGTTTCTCTATTGATCTAGTGCCCGGCAACGGCGCCGATTTCTATGGCACCTTACCGTTGCTCCAGCAGAGTTGGTTGAGTTGAAAGTTCAGCTTCAGGAATTGCTAGATAAGGGTTTTGTCGCCCTAGTGTCTTTCACCGTGGGAGCACCAGCCTCGTTTGCTGAAAAGAAAAGATGGTGCCTTAAGATTGTGTATTGACTACCGGAATTGAATCGGGGCTACGGTTAAGGAATAAGTACCCTATGCCCCGTTATAGATGAATTTGTTTTTGACCAGTTGAAGGGTTCCCGTTGTTTCTCTAAGATAGACTTAAGATCGGTTTACCACCAGTGAGGGTCAGGGAAGAGGATATTCGAAGACGGCATTCCGTAACGCGGTATTTGGCCATTATGGAGTTTCTGGTTGATGCGTCATTTGGGCTTACCAACGCCACGTCAGTCTTTCAGAGCGTTGATGTAACCGGATCTTCCGGAATTCTTGGATTGATTTGGGTTGTCTTCGTGGACGACATTCTTATCTATTCGCCTTCTGAGGAGGAGCACGAGAACACTTGAGAGTGGTTGCTTGTAATTGCTTAGAGCCCATAGGCTGATATGAAGTTTGGGGAAGTGTGAGTTTCTGGCTGAGGGAGTCAAATTTCTTAGGCCATGTGTTTCCGAGGAAGGGGTGTGCTGTTGATACATACAAGGTAGAGGCAGTGCAGGATTGGGGCACAGCCTAGAGTGTGTTTGAGATCCGCAAGTTTTCTGGGATTAGCTGGTTTATCGCTGGTTTATGAAAAGATTTCTCCAGGTTAGCGTCACCGTTGACTAGACTGACTCGGAAGGGAGTCAAAGTTTGTGTGGAGTGAGCTTGTGGAAAAGTCGTTCCAAGAGCTAAAGGTTAGGTTGACCATGCCTCGGTGTTGATTATTCGCGGAGAAGGGTGGTTATGCGGTTATTGTGATGCCTCACTGAGAGGGGTTTGGGTTGTGTTTTGATGGCAAGAGGGAAAAGTGGTAGCTTATGGCTCACGTCAGTTGAAAATAACACGAGGAACGATTTACCCCACAACACGACCAAGAGTTGCGCTGTGATCTTTGCCTTGAAAAATCTGGAGGCACTACCTTTATGGTTAGAAGTTCGAGGTGTTCTCGGACCACAAGGAGTTTGAAGTATCTTTTACACAGAGGATTGAATTTGAGCAGAGAGAAGTGTGTAGGAGTTCATTGAGGATTATGATTTTGAGTTGTATTATCACCCGGGAAAGGCCAATGTGTGGCCGATGCCCTTAGTAGGAATCATTAGTGATGTCAGCTAGTTATAGCCATCCGAGAATGGGGAGATTGTTGGGAGCACTTGGCGAGTTTGATTTGCTACTGGCGAATCCTGTTGACGCTTGCGACCTTGTTTTCTGTTGTTGCGTACTACACTTTGTGACACGAGTGTTAGAGCACAGAGACGGTGACCTTGAGGTAAGAATCCCTCGAGAAAGATCAGTGGGAAGGTGAGAAGGGTTTGACGGTGAATCCCGACCTGAGCGTGAGATACCGAGACCGTTTGTTTGTGCCGGAAGTCTTGCCAAGAGGAAGTACTCCGAGAGTTTCACCATTCGTGCCTTGCGTGCATCCGGGAGGTACTAAGATGTATCGGATTTGGTGTCGCCAGTTTTGTTGGATTCTCCTC